GTATAATACCCAATGAACCCTATTTCCCACGTTTGGTTTTTTTTTCCCCCGTTGGTTTTTTTTTTTTTTTTTTTGGGTTGATATTATACAAATTTATAAATAAACCCAATCCTAAACATGTATTTATAAAAAAACCCAAACACTATTTAAACATAGAAACACACCCAAAATCAACCACAAAATCAACAATTGTATATTTTTTGGGTGTGTTTATAAATGGGTTTTGAGTGTGTGTAATGATGGGTTTTGGGTGTGTTTATAGAGTGTTTTAGGTGTTGGGTTTTTTTTATAATTTCAACCCCCATTTTGGGTGTTTTAGTGAAACTCCCTTGATATTATTACGCTTTCCAAAACGAGTGGTTAGTGTCAAATTAACTTATTAAGTGCAAGATACAAAATCCAATATTTTCCTAAACTAGGAACAAGAAACCCTAGCACCACTAGGAGCTTTGATGGTCTTTGGCTTCTTTAAATTGCACTACGTTCATGAATATTGAGATCAACCAAATAGAACAGCAGAAAAACTCCTCTTGTCGGCAAGAAGGTCTACAACTTTGAAGTTTGCATCCTTGAATTTTCAGCCGTCAAAGTGGTGAGAATGGGCCCCCTTTTTTTTCGTGTTTGATTCTCATATATATATATATATATATATATATGCCTACAGTCGCCAGTTGAAAAAGAAAAACTGACGTTGATATTTTTCTACAGCCGCAAGAACTCATTTGTTGGTCTATCAAGCAACTTGTTGGTAAGCTTGAACCCATTCTTTGTTTCATCATGTTCTTGCATCAGCTTTTTTTATTTTTTTGGTTGCTATTGTGGAAGCAAGATTGGAAGGTAGGCAGGCTCAGGCCTGCGTGTGTTGAGCTTGAAGTTGAGGCAAGAAGGTGCTGGGCTCGAAGTGGAAGCAAGGAGGCGTCAGGCTTGGTGCGCGAGGTGGGCTGCGCAGGAGGAGAAGCTGGGCTGCGTAGATTGAGACATGAGCTGGGCCTGGTGCAACATGGGCTGTGCGCTGGAGCATGGGCAGGCGACGATGGGCCTTGGTGGCTGACGCTGGGCTGCACAGGAGCATCTGCTAGACCTTCGTGCTGGCTGGGCTGGAGAAGTGGGCAAACTGGGCTGCCCCCATTCAGCTTGGGCTGGTCCAAACAGCTCGAAATAACCCCCTTTTTTTTTCCTTTTTTTTTTTCGCTGCTGCACATCTATTACTCTTTCAATCATTTTTATTTTATTTTATATGATGATATTTATACATATATATATTTTTTACAATAGGTACTTTGAAAGAAAGTGAAAAACGTAGACGTCCTATACCGCTTGGGTTTGAACCATCTTTCCGACTTGGTGATAACCCGCTCAAGCGCTTAGGCTTTACGTAAGTGGAGGACAAGTGAAGAACGTAGACGTCCTATACCGCTTGGGTTTGAACCATCTCTCCGACTTGGTGATAACCTGCTCAAGTGCTTAGGCTTTACGTAAGTGGGGGACAAGTGAAGAACGTAGATGTCTTATACCGCTTGGGTTTGATCCATCTCTCTGACTTGGTGATAACCCACTCAAGCGCTTAGGCTTTACGTAAGTGGAGGACAAGTGAAGAACGTAGACATCCTATACCGCTTGGGTTTGATCCATCTCTCCAACTTGGTGATAACCTGCTCAAGTGCTTAGGCTTTACGTAGGGGAAGACGAGTGACAATTGTTTCTCGAGACATTCCACCTTTATCCGGCTTTTCAAACTTGTACAAGTAAGCTCCTTTTTTTTCTTTTTCTTTTAAGTATGAAATCACCAGCCTAATACTGAATATTGTTTCATGTCGCTCATCTTATACAGATGGCCTTCTTCAAGTGTTTCAAGAAAGGCACCGTTACTATTCTTGAGGATGAAAGTGATAACCGGGACGAAGGTACCACATTGCTTGTAGGTGTGCCTCTCCTAGCTTCGGAAGTATCTGAGGTGGACAATTCTCTTCATATTCCGTCTTGGTCTCAAGAGGTGTTTTGTCAACTCAGCAGCTTCAAAAAATCCGAGTCTACAGATAGGGACCTTCACTCCACTGTTTTACAGTTAAGGTTTTTCCATCATACAAATACCGGTTCATCGAAGGCGTTCGAGATTCTTAGCTATCGAATCCATAATGGAGCAGTGAATTGGAGTTCTGCTCTCCCGACAGCTGGTGAATCTACATTTATTGAGTATTACTGGGAGTGGCTTGAAGATGTGGTAAGTAGAAGTACTCAGGTTCTTAAGAGCACCGGTCTATATAATGCAGTATTTGCCTCATTATTTAGCTATGATCGACATGCTCCAGTCATTCGAGCCTTTTGCGAGTACTGGTGTCCTGCAACAAATACTCTTCATACGTCGCAAGGAGAGATGTCTATTTCCCTTTGGGATCTTCATGAAATTGGTGGTCTCCCTATTACAGGTCGATTTTATGATGAAGTTATTCCAACCACTAAGAGTCTCAACAGGAAGGATCATAAAGGCGTGTCTTATATCCCACACATTTGTCGCTACTTATTCTTAGCATATCACAAGATTTTACAGGATTCTAAAGGAAAATCTGGAGTGAGAATGACTGCTTGGATAAAGTACTGGTATCGAGGGCCATTCAAGTATAAAAAGGCTTCAAGGAAAACCATATGGAACAAATCACAAAAGCCAAAGGAGGACTTTGATCCATCTTGTATCATTCCGATAGCACTGAAACGCACTGAGGAAGAGGTCCCGAGTTACGGCCCTGGCCATGTCCTGAATGACGGCCTTGATTGCGACCCGGCCTCACCCATGTCCAGAGTGACGACCTTGCCTTCGGTCGCGGCCAGTGGAACCGTGGGCGGTGGAGGGACCGCCTAGGGAAGAATCATCTACCAGTTCGAGCAAGGGGATCAAGAAGCGGCCGTTCATAGATTTAGGATGTATTCTACTTTTTGCGTATATATGCTTATATGTTTCATTCGGCCATGACCGGCCGTTCTTTTTGTAACCGTGCCTCCTTTCTTTTAATCTAAATGAAGTATAACCCCTTTTTCTTCTGACCGAATGTATGGTTTTTCTTTTATCTTTGCCGATTGCAAAACCTCATAACCCATTCTTGGCCGTCTCCCACAATGACGGGGCATATTTCTTCAAATATTGGCCGTTTATTGGCAAGTTGTGCCATTCCCCATCCCTATCTCTTAACTGAAATGCGCCTCGGCCAAGGATTCGATCGATAATAAACGGCCCTTCCCAATTGGGTGAGAATTTGCCGAACCGAGGGTCCTTAGTTCCGATAAGAAGTACGGCACGCCATACCAAGTCGCCTTCGGCGAAAGTCCTTTGCTTCACCTTCTTGTTGTAGGACCTCGCTGCGACCTGCTTATGTGCCTGCATTAGGTTATAGGCGTCGAGCCTGGACTGCTCCAAATCTTTTAACTCCTGAGCCATGGCCTGCGCATAGTCCTTCTCTTCCTGCCCAGGTCGTTCGGTTACACGGAGAGACCAAACTGTTAGCTCCATCGGAACGATGGCGTCATGACCGTAGGTTAAGGCATAAGGGGATGTGCCAGTAGCCGATCGTTTTAAGACTTGGTAAGCTAGAAGGCTTCAGGGAGAAAGTCGTGCCATGCCCTAGGTTTTTCCTCAATCATTTTCTCGAGGATACCCTTGATTACCTTGTTGCTTGCCTCGGCCTGTCCGTTAGCCTGTGGGTAGTAGGGCGTCGAGTGGACCAATTTGATCCCCATCCTTTCGGCGTATTCTCGAGTCTCGGCTGATGCGAATACCGGGCCGTTATCGGCCTTGATGGTTTCGGGTATACCGAATCTGTGGACGATGTGATTTTTGAAGAATCTGACCACCTGTGTGCTAGAAATGGACCGATAGGACTCCGCCTCGACCCATTTAGTGAAATAGTCAGTTGCTACCAAAACCCAGGCGTGCTGGTTGGACGCGGCCGGGTAGATTTTGCCGATGATATCCACGGCCCATCCTCTAAACGGCCAAGGTTTAGTTACCGGGTGAAGGGCGTCAGCCGGTACCCTTTGTATGAGGCCGTAGATTTGACACTTGCTGCACCGCTTCGCATATTCTATGCAGTTCTTTAAAATGGTCGGCCAATAATAGCTGTGCCTCCGAACCAACCATCTCATCTTAACGTCGGACTGGTGAGCGCCGCAAATCCCTTTGTGGGATTCGGCCATGATAACCTTGATATCTTCGATGCTGGGGCA